CCTGGCCCTGAACTCCTGGGACCCAATGATCCTCCTGCTTCAGCCTCCTGAGTAGCTGGGATGACAGGTGCACACAATAATGCCCCACTGAAGACATTAGGCTCAGGAGTCTCCCTGCAGGCACTGACATGTGCCAGCACAGAAAAACAGGATCTGTGGTTTGAAGTCGAGCCCCACGTAGGATCTGGGAATGGGGCACATGAAAAGAGGCATGCTTCTGTACATTTCAAGTGTTCTGGTCACACAGCAATAGTGAGGGAAATATGTAGAAAAGAGACCGCAGAATTTTTCTAAAGTTCATTCCTTAATTTATTACTTTTCATCTAACGGAAAGCCTTCCTGAGAATGAGGTTCATATAAAATTCCTATTTCTTGTTTCTTTCTACAAATGTTCCCAGCTTAATTCCAATGCAAGCATTATCAAGCATCTGTTTTAATTACAGCCATTGTTAAGGTAGTTAATCAGTTGTCGTCTCTCACCAGCCAAAATCCTATATTGCTAAATTTTCATACAATCAAAGATACAATAAATGTAAAAGGAATTCTTGTATATCAGCGCAAAAAAAATGCATACAACGTCTTTGCTCACTGATGCAACCAAAACACCCAGGAGTTATTATAATGTGCATTCCCTTGACACAGACTTTTATTTCATGCAAATGACTGTGATTAAGATTCAAATACTTTTTTTTCATTTTCACACATTACTTAATCAATGTGAAGTACTGTGTAAAAATTGCATCTCTTCATAACAGTGATTTTGACCAAGTCAAGTGTTGCTCCTAGAATTATAATCCAGACTTGTGATTCAATTATCATTTAGAGACTTTCTAAATTCAAATTAAGTTCACTCCTTTTTCCTCCTCCTAGCACAGTAAACTTAGTATCAGTATGGATCATTTGTAAGGTGTGATCAAAATAACTTTCCATTGTAAGGAGACATACAATGTGATGTGTGGTTTTTCCTTTACTGGCCAAAAAAAAAAGCACAGCAATCAATAGAAGCTGGCCATTAAAATGTATGAAAACGCACAAGGTACAGTCTATTTTTCCATTTACGTTATAGTTAGCTTTTAGGCTGAATAAAATTGGCATTCCCCAGAATACTTTCTATTTAAACTTACCTGGAATAGTTGTACAAACCACTATTTAACAAGTTAAAAAAGAACCCATGGAATACTGAAAGTTTGGCATCCCCATGTGATGAATTGACTATTGGACATTCACAAAGCACATTCTTACAAGAATCAACAAGGTCTGCGTAAAATGAAGCAGGGCTCCAGAGGCCAGCCCGGTGAGTCTCATGCAACTACAAAACACTGATTGATCTATTTACCGTTTACTGCGCCCAAGCCAGAGGCTGTCTTGTTTTGTTATTGTCTGCAACTATCTTTTGCTTGTTCATCTTGCATTTTATTTTCATTTGAGGAAAAATTAGAATTTCGTCGGTGACTTCAGAACTGGCAGATTTGGGTTTTCATAATACCAACCTTATTCATTTTCTTAAAATGTTCCATACCTGGAATTTCTAAGTCGAAAATAAAATCTAATTTTAAATTATTTCTCTTCTTTCAAGACTTAAAAAATATTCTCTTTTGTGTCTGAGTGCAGTGAGCAGAGAAAGACACCCTTCTTTTATTCTCCAATGGTCCTCTGTGGCCAAGCTGAATTTGTTGAATTTGAATCATTTTTTTGAGAGCAAGTAGAATTTGCGTTGCTGCAGCCTGATGAAGGCAGTGTTTGAATCTGGCTATTTCTCCTTAGAAGCTCTTCCCCGTGCCTCACAGTAGGTTAACCCTACCTCTCCCTCCAGGAAAGGTCAAGGAGACCTTGGGAATTCGTTGTTAGGAGGGTTCTGATTTGTAGCTAACCAGGCCAGTTAGAACCAGAGTGCTAGTCCTGAATCTGCTGGAAAGAGAGGAAGCACCTGCGATTTAGGGGTTCTGCAGGAGGAAGAATTACTAACCGCTGCAGAGTTGCCTGAGACCTGTCATTTCAGAAGAGAAAGAGTTGCAGTCATGTTGGGTCTTTTGAAGGCAGAACTGGATCATTTGAAATCAGTCCAGAGGAGGTCAGTCATAGAGGACTAAAAGGACAATTCCTATTTACTTCTATCCAATGTAGAAGGCTAAACAATGTGCTGTAGGATGAAACGATAGGGAAAAAACCAAAGTCGTGCAGAGACTCCTGGCCAGGCCCCAGAACCTAACTGTCCCCATCCCATGGTACCCGGCTACCGGTGAGGCCATACTGCGCGTGCGTCCTTGGAGTCAGCTGATGTTCAGTTCCAGCCTGGAGAACAGAAACAGAGCACCTGGGAGCTTCTAATCTCAAATCCTAGCGGCCTGTTAGAGTTGGAACCCAGGCTTTTCCCTCTTTTGAGGAGGTGTGAGGTATGTACTGCTCAGAGTGGAGTAACTTCGTGGACGTCACGGGTAGCTCCACCTAATCAGGTACAGAAAGCCACACTGCTCTTCAGGCCCAGTGGGATAAATAAGGTCATAAATGATTCCATGTCAGGACAGCTTAGGTTTTGTCTTCAAATGAATCTTTATGGAAAAGAGCTATTTTGGTCTTTAGAGCTTTTTACATTTTAGAATTCTATATAATATGGCATTTCTAGAAAACTAAAGAGATAGCTGATAAATATCCTTTGCCTGTTCAGTCTTCTTTCTGTATCCAGCTTACTGGACTTTACTGCTTCCTGAGATCACCATACTGGTCTTATCTATCTATCTGTCTACCATCTATCTTTCTATCTTTTTTTTTGAGACAGGGTCTCACTATGTAGTTCAGGCTGGCCTTGAACTCACTGTATAGCCCAGACTGGCCTCAAACTCACACCAGTCTCCCTGTGTCAGCCTCCTGAGTGCTGGGATTACAGGTGTGCACCACCACACCCGGCAGGACTGCTCCTTAAGGGAGAGTCTAGAGAGCTTTCTTCTAAAATATGGGTAGATATATTTTGCTACATAATTTAATATTAAGCATATAGTATGGGGCAATGCACCATGCTCATTTAATTCTGTAATGATTCCATTTTACAAACGGCAAACTGGGTATAGAAGTGTAAGTAAAAATTTAAGTGAAGATTAAGTACCTTGGTCAAGGCCTACAATCAGAAAGTGGCAAAGCCGGGATTTGAAACTGGGAAGTCTGGTGCCCTCCTCTGTGTTGGTGACTGTAGTATTACTGCCTTTCTCCAAGAGACAGTAGTTTTCCTATAAAATATGATGAAAACCCCTATAGCCGCAGGTCTCCCTGGGGGCCTGAAACTGCAGTTTTAGATGATGTGCTGTCATGCTGTACTTGTTTTCTGACCCATTTTAATGTGACTTGCCATCAACCAGCTTGTGCCTAGGCTGACAGTGGACCAGCCTGGAAGAGGGTAAGGTGAGGAGTTACTTCCCATCAGAAACCATGGACAGCACAAGCACCACTGTGTCATGATAGCACAGTGTCCTGCTAGAGCTGTTTATGGCTATCATTATTTCATATGCATAGCTCCAAAGCAAATTAAAAGTCAATGTAAACTTGTGAAAAGCATTTAGTCTGGCATCTTGGCCATATTGCTGGCTCACACCTGTGGTCTCTTTGAAGGACATCGTGTCCTTAGGGACTGGTGACTTTCACTGTTAATACTCAAGCACCAAAAGAAGTCACAGCTCCATAGCAAGCCAAGCTCACCTCAAACCTGAGAGGGTTTAGAACTTGTAAGCATGATGATCACAAAAAATGGTCATTGTGCTGTCAGCTCGTCTGGCGTAATTACCTAAAAAAGATACAGAAAAAGGCTCTAGTCGATAGCAGCCAAGGGCCGTGCTGAGAGAGTCTAGGTTGTGTCAGGGGATGTCCACAGCGTGCCTCAGCTTCGCAGACTCGGTCTTCACCCATTACAGTGGTTGGATCTGAAGTATTATTGGGAGAAATATGGTGCAATATAATCATTGCTAAACTGAGGTGATGAACATGCAGGTGTTTGTCATACTCTTCACCTTGTTTTTATGTAAGTTTGACAGCTTTGTAATTAAAGGTAGTCAGACACTGGGCAAGAGAAAGACAAGGGGAAATTCTGGTTGATAATTTTACTGATTTTTCCAACTGGTAATTTTAAATCTTAGCACTGTCAGCTGTTAAATTAGTTTCTCCAGGCCTTTAGCCTTCCACTGTCCATGACAGCAGAACACAGTAGCTGCGAGCCACAGCTGACGACTAAAATATAAACCAACCAAAATTAAACTAGAAAGTGAGCCCTTCAGATGCACTGCGGACAGTGTTAACAGCTCTCAGTTACCTAATAGTTATCGGCCGTATAGTTTTAAACTTTTTTAATTGTGGTAAATATTCAGAACCTGAAATTTACTATTTTAATATTGTAGAGATACAACGTATGCATATCAAGACCCCCTTGAATTTATGCCCTTGTCTATTTCTGTATTTCCCTGAAAATACTGACTTGCTGCCTTCTCATTATGTGGATTATAAGCAAATAAAGAGGTAGCAACAACCTAAAGCATGAAGAATTTAAATGAGAGAAATATGAATTCTGAAGCTGTGTGTATTAAAGATCTCTTTTTCTGAAAACTGGGAAACAAGCAGAACCCCATTCCCTAACTGTAGCAATGGAACGAACCTTGCCCCACTTACGAAACCCCAAGGCTCTGTTCCCCTTGAAGGTGACTCACGACTTGCAGCTCTGTGGCACACAGACACTGATTCACTCAACAGATGTTCTCAGCATCTCCACCGTGAGCCAGGTGCTGTGTCGGCAATGGAAACACCAGCAAGGCTCCTGTGATTTGCAGAGCTTCTCTTCTGAGGTGGGAAGTCAGACAGCAGACCAACTGTCAGTGCTGACGGTTGCTGTGGAGGGTGAAAGAGGCAGGGCACACCTATTATCTCAGCTACTGGGGAGGCTGAGGCAGGAGGATCCCAAGCCCCCAGCAGGCTTTGGAGCGAGCAGGCTAACGTGTCCACTGACTACTCCTCCACACATCCAGGTGGCTGCTGCGTTTCCGGTTTCACTTGTGACCTAGGGGCTGTGTGTCTGCCAGTAGGAGGAAGAGACTCAGAATCAGCCCAAGAGGCTCTGCAAAGTCCCCTAAAACTCGCCATCTGATGCCTTCATGTGCCTGAATCGTCACTGCGCAGGAGGAATAACCATATGCTCAGGACACCTTGTTCTCATCAGGTAAGCATTCAAGTTGGTAAGTGAGCGGAAACAGGACTTTCTGCCCACACAAAGAGAAGAAATTCACTCAGCGGGGTCAGAGAGCCGCCAGCTTTTCTCCAGGTTCTTATGTCAGTGGCAGAACCTGGGCCATTTTCAAGCCTTCTGGATTGTCCTGCGGTGTGAATCGTATTTCTGTCAGTTTTTCTTCTTTAACATTTATTTATAGCTTTGAAAATGGCCTGGAGCAAACAGCAGTTTAGACAAGCAGAGCTGCAAAGTGTGGTTTTCCTTGACAATTTGGGTGAGCCCTGAGTGGGTGATGTGATTTGAGTGGGTTTTAAACGGTGATGGTAATGGAAAGAGTCGACATGTATAAGGGTTCCTACTCATATGACACAGTAGTGTATATATCCTTTAGAGTCTGAGAAGTACATTTTGAACTCAATTTCTTAGTTTTAGAAAAGTTACCATCTACAAACAATCTACACTGAAATTCAGGAAATTTTCAGCATTAACTACAGTAACACTAATAACAAAACTAATAGTTGTGCATTTTCTACATGTTCGGTGCCGCGCTATGATTTCAACACACATCTTCTGGTACCCTTTTTACACCCAGCACATGTTACTGGTGAGGAACTTACAGTAGTGAGCTAACGCGTGAGCCTGGAGTTTCTTGTGCATTCACTGCTGGCAATGAGACCAGGACTTGGAATCCCTTACTTACCACAATTCCCAGCAGAGTGACTTCTTTCAAGCCTCCCAAGACAAACATTCTCATCCAGCTGAGGACAGCGTGGTTGCTAAGTGTAAGTGCAGATTGTGAGGCTGTAGACAATTTCAGGTAGAAATTCCATGGCTGTTTCTCTCTGCATATGGGACCATGTGACTAAATTCTCATTTCAGAAAAAGCTACCATGGGAACACTACAGTAGATAATGTACAGGATGGACGAGAAGCAGGGAGGAACCAGAAGGAGCTCAGAGAAACGTGAGCACAGATGGGGGGACAAGCCCAGCCTACTGGTCAGGCTGACCTGACTTCTGGTCATGAATCTCACAAATTATGTCCTTAATTTTAAGCTTTCCTTGGCTTTCTTTAGTTTCAAGACTTGATTGACTGAAAACTGCGAGTTTAAACTCAATTACCTTATAAGTCCTTCGCACCTATACAATATCATAATTCCTCGTCTTTCTTTTAAGACTTTATTAATTAATGTGTTGAGACAAACTCAATCTTTAGAATGTTTCTAAATTTTCTATCATACAGTGCTATCTCACTTCATTGTTTCCATGATTTTGGTCATAAAACAAATTGCACAAGAACCAAATCAGATTTCCCCATAAGGCCAACACTGAACCTCACCATTGCATATGATGTCCTGGACTTCAGGTCTGTGGCAGTGTTCTGTGGCTTTCCTCAGAGGCTTGGTACATTTTAGGGACCTCAGAAGTGTTTGTTAAATAAGAGAGTGAATAACATAATACGTAAAGATATGAAAAAATGCTTACTTTGAATTTTCCAAAGCAGTAACACATATGGACTGACCCAGCTTCCTCCAAGTTTGATGTTCAGGTCTCATTTTGTATTATTCATTCTTAGGAAAGGATTCGGGGTTTATGTTGCCTAAAGTTCATAGAATTTAAGGGCTCCTCTTTAGAAATAATTTAATATTGCAAGTGTAAAATGCTACGGCCTGGCCACAGGCCATAGCAGTGGTTGGCTGCACTCTCTGTTAGCATACAGTCACTTGTGGCACGGGCACACACCTTGTCAGTGCAGGGATCAGCTTGAGACCCAGCCACTGTCTGCTCTGGGCATGACTGACTTCTCACTTTTCCCAGAGTTTACACACATGCTAGCCCATTAGCCAGGGCATGTCCACCCCACCTCTAGTCTGTTTCTACCTACCACAAATCCTTGACTTTTTGTTGTTGTTGTTGGTACCGGGAATCGAACTCACAACTTCATGCTTGCCAGGCAGGCATTTATATCACTGAGCTAAATGCTTGGCCCAAATCCTTGACTTTTTGAGACCGAGTCTTACTAACTTGCTAGGTTGTCCAAACCGGGCCGTTACTTGCCATCCTCCTGCCTCAGCTCCCAAGAGTGCTGGGGGGAAGGAATGCACCACTATGCCTGACTCAGATCCCTGACTTTTAAAAAACTGTGGTAAAATATGCATAATGCAAGACTGGCCATTTTAGCCATGTGAGTGTACAATGTGATGGCATGATAATTCCTAATGTTATGTAACCATACTTCTGTCCATGCCCAAAACTGCTAAAATCATCTCCACATAAACTCTGCACGTGTGAAATAAAATCTCCCCAATCTCCTCTCCCTACTACCCGGCCACCTCTAACTCTGCTTTCTGTCTCTATGGGTTTGCCTCCTCCTTAAGTCCCTCATAGAAATGGAGCATATAGTATTCAGCCTTCTCTATTTGGCTTATTTCATTAAGCATGACACTTCAGGGTCAGTCATGCTGTAGTACATATCAAAATCTATACCTTTATGGCTGAATAATATTCATTGCCCATCTAATTCTGTGCATCCAGTCATATGTTGATGGCTTTTCCCACCTTTTGGATACTGTGAGTTGTTGCCATGAACAGTGCTGTGCAAGTGTCTTTCTAAGGCTTTTCTTTTAATTCCTTTGGGTGGGTACCTGGGTATAGAAATGCTAGGTCATATTCCGAGTCTATGCAGAACACTGCAAGACCCCATTAAACTATTTTCCATAGAAGTTGCATCATTTTACATTCCTACCAGTGATGTGTGAGGGTTCCCATTTCTGTACATTTTTGTTGTTTTATTTTTCTTTCCTTTTCTTACTATAGTCATCCTAGCAAGAAGTAGCATCTCATCGTCATTTTACCTTATCATCTTTCTTACAACATTTAACACTGTCCAAAACAGTCTTGCTGGTTTCCTTGGTTTCCTAGTCCCAAAATCCATGACGGCAGGACCACTTTTGTTCTGTGTACCTGTTTTGGAACACCAAGCACTGTTCTTGCCCCACACATGCATCCTACTGACTAAATGAGCCACGCATGTCTCTGAGGAACCACGTGAGGATTGTTGCAGCTTATTTATCCTCAGATCAGCAACTGAGTTAGATAACAAGCCACAGTTAGTATCAGGCATCAGAGAAATCCTTCTGGGAACCCACAGCAAATGGACACCTTTATTTAGGGCTTCAGAAAGTGAAAGGTAAACAATTTAAATGAAATTGTGAATCATAAAAGTTGTGCATGAGCCTCAGATTAAATTTAGCAATTAGAATTCAAACTGAATCAATCAATAATTATCAGAAAGCTTCCAAGAAGAATGATGTCCCAAAATAAGGACAGATGTCCCAAACTAAGGTAGCATTGTGCAAGCTATTGGGGGAACAAGCCCCTTGCACTGGGGAGTCTGGAGGAGCCACGTCCCTGAACCCTAAGGCCTGAATTGCTAACTATTGAGTCAAATTGGGTGAGTTGACATGAAGTACTGCCCAGCTTTGCATTTATAATTGCGGGGAGAGCAAAATTTCATCCCTCACACTAAAGTCTGAAAATGACTGAGTCATTACTGTGATCTTTACCTGTGGCTTCTGTGTGTTTTACAAACACACAATTTCACAATTGAAAGCTTTCAACAATTCCACTCCCTATTGCTAAGAACCACGGTCCTGGGCTGAGGAGCCTGGAAATGCCCAGGGAACAAAGCAAACAGACGCCCAGGTAAGTATTGCACCATCAAGAACTGCACAGCTCAGGCAGCCTGGCACGCCCGCGGCGGGATCTGCTAGCTACCCTTTCACACCAGAGCATGCCTGTGGCACGGTTCACAATTGCTGCTGTCACTCTCTGAGTTACTAAGCCAAGTTGCTTAATGACACTATTTTGAAATCATGGAATTTGTGGCTCTGAGGAGCTCCCAGAGTGTTTAACGCACGGTTGAATGAACTCCTATAAAAGAAGCAGAAAGAAGAACCGGATGGGCTCTAAGCAGGTGGACGGGACAGAGACACACTCAACCAGGAGCAGTTTGCCCTGGGTCTCCAGCTACACGGGTGCCATCCCAGGGGTACAGGGAGTGGGACAATTTTTGTAATGGTATATTGTTTAAATCCTGTAAGGTTCAGGCTCTGGAAAACCTGGCTCCCCCAAGCCTGTGCTTTTCTTTGGCCATTCAAGAAATTTTTGAAAATATTTCCCTTAGTTGTTTTCTACTGACAAATGTTAAGACATCAGCAAGGCTTGTGGCACTCCCTACAGGGGCCCAGTACTGGTCCACTCATATCACAGCGTTCAGTAATGAATGGGCTTGATAGAACAAAATAAGTAACATGAAGTACAGTTAGGCGTGTGTGTGTGTGTGTGTGTGTGTGTGTGTGTGTGCGCGTGTGTGATATGCTTATCGGGAACATTTGGCCTTGGATGTTCAGAGTTTGCTTATTCAAAATGAAAAACCCAATGGCATTTTTAACCAGAAGAGCTCCATTGGAGTAACCGAAAACCTGTCTTTGAGAACTTGCCAAGGAAGAACAGGGTTTTTGTTGACTGACTCTTTACAGAAAATACTTAAAAAACCAATTTCTTATTTGTTTTTATTGTGCATTGTGATACTTTGTTTCATATGTTGGTGACAAGAAAAATAAAAATCTGACTTTCAGGTTAAGATATTATTTATTTTTACCCAAATACTGCTAATTAAAATTGATTTTTGCAAACTGTATTGAGTGCTAGGAGTGTCTTTGCACATTTCCTGTTGATTAAGTGGAGTCAGAAGTGAAAAAGTTTCCCTGACAGCGGCTCCCAAACACACACACACACACACACATACACACACACACACACACACACACACACACACACACACACACCAGGTGCCTCTTCTGGCCCTCCTGGCTTCGGAGTTCAATGTTCTTCACCCACAGTCTCTTTTGTGCTTTTAGGCGAGGCCCATAAGTCATGAGTGGAAGATTCCCAATAACCCACTTCTGATAGATGCTTCATCCAGTTCCT